GAGGGGAGCAGCGGGCGGGTCAGGAGAGGTCTGCCTCGCCATGTGGTCACCTCCGGGGCAGGCGGGAATCGAACTCATGCGGAAGTGGCTTTAGCTCCTTAGTGCTGTGCTCTAACCCGCTGCGCCACCAGGGAGGGCCTGAGATACTGATTTTTTAAACTCCAAAAGAAAGAATCTGGAAAGGATTGATATTTTGATAATATCCAAATCGTAGCTTTGTTTTTTCCATGTATACTGTATAAGATTTACATTTATTGCATTAGTTTTTAATCATCCTTTAGTAAAGTCTGCCTTGCTTTTGGGGGATGTCATCGCCTCATTTCCTTTCCTTAACTTTCTTGGGAAAAAAAAAAGAGTGGTGAGGGACCCTCCCTAGTGGCACAACAGCATATTCTGTAAAACAAGTGACCTAAACGCCTGACAAATATCAAAACCATGGGACCCTCCCTGGTGTGGCAATGGGTTAAAGCACAGCACTGCAAAGGTATTAGCAGTTGTTTCAGCATGAGTTGGATCCCTGGCCAGTGGTGTGGCAGACCCTCCCACTGCTCCCCTCAGAAGTGTACTTTGTCAGTCAGCCTGTTCTGCTCCCCACTCTGTCTCTGTGAATTCTCTCATGGCCTCTGCACCTCTGACCTGTACCCCAGTTCTGTATGCATAAATAAATATTAAAAAGAAATCAAAGCCATGGAACTTTTTCTTTCTTTCTTTTTTTTAATGGAGAACTGCTTTTTCTTTATTTAGGCCTTAGGAAGGACATTAACTTTGACCGCACATTCCTTTTTAAAAAATCCAATTTATGAGGTGAGAATTTTTATACCCTAAAGTCCAGATGACTGAGGTGAACAGTCATCCTCATCTCCAGCTACATAACCTTCTCCATCATGCTCTTCTACTTTACTGAAGCTAAGTCCACAGTGTGGTCATTATCTTCCTATAACTTGCTACCCATACTTTCCTGATGCTTCGAGTCCACTTCTTCATTCATTTTCTTGTCTTCTCCTAAGTTTGTTGCCTCCCAATTGTTACAGCTAAGACAGTTACTAGGGAAGCCTGTGCAGGTGGTAATTGCTAGTGACAGTTAACCTTACTGGGGAAATGCTTAACCTACTTGCTGTTCTGCTCAGTGCTATGTCTTTAATCTGCCACCCAACCAAGCAGGGCCCCAAATGAAATATATATTTTTAAAGATTTATTTATTTATGCAAACAGCACTGGGGTACAGATCAGAGGCTCAGGGCAGTGAGAGAATTCACCAAAATCAGAGTGGGGAGATGAGCAGATAGATTGACAAAGTGTACTGCTGAGGGACCAATGGGTGAGAAGAGAGAGGCCTGCTGCCCCATGTGGGCCACCTCCAGAGCCAGGGATGGAACTTGGGCTGAAGCAGCTGCGGCTGGCTTTGCAGTACTGTGCTTTAACCAGTCGGGCCACCATGGAGGGCCTCCAGATGAAATATTTTGAAGTAGGATTATGGAATTATAGAGTAAGGAATAAGGAATTATTATGAATGACTACATACAATACATAATTCTGGATTTTTAAAAAGCTTGAAGATAATTGGAGTGGCAATTTTGGAAAAATTTTGGAGACAATGTCAACTATATATTAATGAATATATTTCATTAGTGTGTTATTGCAGGATGTGGTTATGTAGCAAATTGTGGTTATGTAGGATGATAATCTTAGGGAAATACAGGCTGAAATACATAAAAGTGAAATTCCAGATTGTCTGCAACTAACTCTGGTTCAACAACAAATGATGTATATTTATACAGAAAGATATAGAAAACAGCAGAATATTGACATTGGCTAGGTGAAGAGTATTCTTGCAAGTTTTCTATAGGTTTGAAAAATTTCAAAATAAAACGATAGGAAATTTTAATTAATTTGGGTGCTAGTTACAAGAGCAGTCATATATGCAAAACAAATTAATTGAGCCCTACACATAAGATCTGTGTATTTTTTTTTTTGCATTTTACCTTACATATATCACACCTTAGATAAGTCAGGGAAGAGGGAAACTTAAATGGTTTCTCTTTCGTTCAGTCAAGTGAGGATCCTGGAGAAATCCTCTGGTTTGGTTCTGGAGAAACTAATTTTTCTCAGTGATCTACCTTGATGAAAGTGGAGTGCCTGATATTCACTAAGCTGTTACTCGGTGGACACCTGTTGAATTAAGGAATTTCGGTCAAATATTGTCTCAAATTATCTGTATTTCCTTTCTCCCCTGATGTAAAGATCCCCATTCTAAAAGATCTTTGCTCTTAACTTTGGAATACTTAAAAAAAAATTCTTTGAGCATTCCGTGGGACTGTGTGAAAACGATTATCTAAAATTTCTAAACTCTATTTAGGAGTTTCGAAACCAAGTTGCGGGCTTAGTAAGAAAATGAGAATCCTAGTGGTAATTACCAAGGTCACACTGTTGGAATACAGTGGGTCAGGGATTAGAATTTAAGGTTTACTCCAGTCCTGTACTTTTGTCTTGATTCTATCCCCGACAGTCTCACTATAAACGAAATGTTCAAATTGTGTTTAACGAGAACGGCATGAATTTCTTCTGGAAAATACTATGTTCTCCCACAAGACTTTTCTCGGACCGTAAACTCGGTGACTGGTGGCTGGAGCGACTCGGAAAAACGGTTTGCTGAATGTCATTAAGAAGAGAATTTACGAGTCCTGCCCCTAAAGGGCGCTCTTCTCCCTCAACGACCAGCGTGAGCTCCAGGACTGCGTCTGCGGCTCGGACTCGCCTCGCGGGGACCAGACGCAGCGGAGGCCCCGCCCCTCCCGCCTCGCCCCCAGCGCTCGCGCATGCGCCGGACTCCCTGCCCACGGTATTCGGGCTCCCACCTCGGTTCAGGTAGGGGTGGTTTGCGGGGGAGTGGCGTCGCCGGGGGGGCGGGCCTGAAGGGGTGGAGTCTCAGGTTTCGGTCCTCCTTTGTTAGCGAACCCCAACTTCCGAGGCAACCGGGACCTGTGCCTGCGGCTGCCTCTTCGGGCTAGGGGTCCACTTCTGAGTCTGGGGACCGCCGAGGCGCTGCTGTGACCAGCACTCGCCGATCCCTTTATGTGGCTCCAGCCCGGGGTCTCCGCACAGCTCCGCACCCGCGCCGGGGCCCGGTCTGTCCCAGCCCGAGGCGGGAGTCCTGGGTAGCTTGAGGACACCGGGCTGGGCTGGTGCCGAGAGTCCGCCGCCTCCCTACCTCCTCCCCCTTCTCGCTGCACGGCCCCACCCAGCCTGCCAGAGCCTCTCGGCGCCCGCAGCGAGGGGTCTCGGTAGGGCTACGCGTGGTCGCTTGCTCTGCCTGAGCCAACGCCTTCTGCTTCACTTGCTTCCCCAGCAGAGCGGAAAAGCCGGAGGCGTGCAGCAGGGGCCCTGCGAAGCTGGGCGGTTGGGCATTGCTGCCTGAAGTCCGCCGGTGCACCTGCCCGCCCGCGAGCCGTCAGTAACCGTTCCTGCAGTTTCCAGTCAGCCAGACTGGAACTCACATAGACGCCCCAGGGTAAAGAGGACCAGAGGCAGCTGACCCCACCACAACCCAGCGCCTAGTGGGGCTTTCGGTGTGACAGTAGGATCAGAACTAGGAAGTTCCCCTTACAATTCTGCAGCTGTCAATAGGCAGTTCCCCCTCCCATGGTGTGCGAAGCACTGGAGTTACAGAGGTAGGATCATCTCTAGAAGACTTGCAAGTGAGGGTGTTGTGGGTGTAGGCCTCATTGCCTGGCTGCCAGTAAGCCCTCAAGAAAGCTTCCTTGAATGAATGAGAGGGTAGGTGACTGAGGGAACAGTGCTAGAGCTCTGCTCATCGCACCCAGGCTTCCCCTGGGCTCATGCAGACAAAAGTAATTAGGTTGAGCCTTTAATCACAACTGGTTTCACAGGCAGGAGGGTAAGGAAGAGGAAGGAAAGCAGAAATCCTGGGGACACAGGGTGCTGGCCCTTCTTACTGGTGCTGCCTTCTGCCCGAGACCCCCTCCAGCCCCCACCCTTTGGCTGTCAGTAATCTGTTTTTTTTTTTTGTCTCCCTCAGGACACTGGGTTCCCTAAGAGTTGCCCCAGGCTTAATGATTGTCCAGAAGGCGGCTATAAAGGGAGCCTGGGAGGCTGGGTGGAGGAGGGAGCAGAAAAAGCCTAACTCAGCAGAGCCGGGCCCTGTGAGAGCTGCAAGCCGGAGCTGTGGTCAGAGGCCGGGTGACCTGGCCAGGAGGGCCTGCTCTCTGCCACCATGGCGGCCCAGGGCTATGGCTACTACCGCACTGTGATCTTCTCCGCCATGTTTGGAGGCTACAGTCTGTACTACTTCAACCGCAAGACCTTCTCCTTTATCATGCCTTCACTGGTGGAGGAGATATCTCTGGACAAAGATGACTTAGGTGAGTGCTAGAAGGGAAGGGTGGTGGGCCCAGGGCCCAGAAGCAGCAGGATGAGTTGGGTGTTTGTGGCACTGTGGTGTGTGCAGGCGTGCAGGCGGTGTGTGCACAGCAGAGGCTGGGGGGCTGTCTGCTTGTGCTAGATGAAGAGGCTCCAAGATCCAAGAGTGTGGGCCTGGACAAAGGATGATGTGTTTGATGTGTACATGTTTGACCAGAGTTGCTCATTTGGCCTCTGTGTGTTTGTGTGTTTATTTACACTGTATTTAGGGGGCTTCTGGAAAGTTTCCATACCTGTATGAGTAATCACACAGAGTGAGTGCTGGCCACTGGCACTGTGAGCACAGGGACTGGAGTGGTTGGCTCCGTGGCTTCATGTGATTTGCAGGCTACTCTCCAGGAGGAACAGGTCCCTGATTCCAATTCTAGGCCCATTCCTAGGCGGGGCAACAGAAGTGGCAGAAGCCCTAGGTTCGCATCCAGGGTGAACGGGGAAAGCAGGCATATATAAATCCTAGTGGGGGAGCTGCTCTGTACTCCTTTCTTGCCTCCTGACAGCTGCAACTGAACTCTCCAACAGGCTGAAAAGTCATAGGTCAGTTTGAGGCTAGTGCCACAGTGAGGGGGAGTAGCAGGCCCACAAACAAGTGCCAGGATTCCAACACAGGCTCCTCCTATTCCTCTTGAAGTGAAGCTGGCTCACCCTGCTGGGCACCTCTACACACCTGACCCCATGCCTTCCTCCACCCTCCCCCCCCCACCCCGTACCTTTGTCCTGGCCCCTAACCCCCCAGGTGTCCTGCTCCCTGCCTCCCTCCTCTGCAGGGCTCATCACCAGCAGCCAGTCGGCAGCCTATGCCGTCAGCAAGTTTGTGAGCGGGGTGCTGTCTGACCAGATGAGTGCTCGTTGGCTCTTCTCCTCTGGGCTGCTCCTGGTTGGCCTGGTCAACATCGTCTTTTCCTGGAGCTCCACAGTGCCGGTCTTTGCTGCTCTCTGGTTCCTCAATGGCCTGGCACAGGGGCTGGGCTGGCCCCCCTGTGGGAAGGTCCTGCGGAAGGTGAGTGTCCACTTGCAAAGAGCCTGCTTGGATTGGCATAGAGGACACCTAAGGAGCTTGTGGGACCATTGGCGCGAATACCCTGTTGCTTGTCAAGATATTTTCGGAGACTGAATAGGGTGGGATCAGGTGGCACAGGAGGGACTTGGCCTCTCTCCCTCGTTCCTGTAATGTGAACCTCTGGGTCTGCCCCATCCGACCCCCACCCTCAACATGGACCGTAGGCTTGGCACCTACTCTGTCCCCTCTGCCCCACAGTGGTTTGAGCCATCCCAGTTTGGCACGTGGTGGGCCATCCTGTCCACCAGCATGAACCTGGCTGGAGGGCTGGGCCCCATCCTGGCCACCATCCTCGCCCAGAGCTACAGCTGGCGTAGCACGCTGGCCCTGTCTGGAGCACTGTGTGTGGCTGTCTCCTTTCTCTGTCTCCTGCTCATCCACAATGAACCTGCTGACGTTGGACTCCGAAACCTGGACCCCACCCCTTCCAAGGGCAAGAAGGGTGAGCCTCCACCCAAGCCAACCTCTGGGCACCTTTATCCAGTCATATGGCAGGTTTTTGTTGGGGTCTGGCTGTATGCTTGGCCCCATGCTAAGCCAGTGGATATGGGGGAGGGATGTGATGGGGAGTGGAAGGGGGAGTAAAGAAGACTCCATCCTCACAGCCCTGAGTAGCTAGGGCTCTGACGCCTGTTGTAGCCTGGCCCTACCTCACAAGAGCCAGACTCCTGCGTCCTGGACAGCACCCTGAGCTCCAGCGGCTTGGGTGCGTCCTCCACCTGCCCTGGTCTTGTTTCACTTTCATTCATTGTGCCTTGCAGTGTAGGGGCGAGGGCAGAGCAGTGGGTGAGGGGATGCCTGCCTGCTGATCTCTGGCTGTGCAGGTGGACTCTGCCCGTGAGTGGTTAATGAGTGGTGGGGCACAAAGGGGGCAGGGCAGCAGGAATGGGGGCAGGGCAAAGCCTGAGGCCTGTCTGTTTCTACCACAGGCTCCTTGGAGGAGAGCACCCTACAGGAGCTGCTGCTGTCCCCCTACCTGTGGGTGCTCTCCACTGGCTACCTCGTGGTGTTTGGAGTGAAGACCTGCTGTACTGACTGGGGCCAGTTCTTTCTTATCCAGGAGAAAGGACAGTCAGCCCTCGTAGGTAAGATGAGAATTGGGACGGGTGGATATAGGGGGCAGGAACCAACACTGGGGGTGGGAAATTCAGACCCACTTCGTTTTACCCCCTTCTTTCCCTGAGGTTGCACACTACTGTGGCAGCTGTGACCAGCCATCCGTGGGGACCCTGTACCTCTCTGCATTTAAACCCACCTGGGACAGCCCCAATGCGTAACATCCTTCCACCCTTCCTTCCCCTCTTCCCACCACAACTTCCCACTGCAGGTAGCTCCTACATGAGTGCCCTGGAGGTTGGGGGCCTTGTAGGCAGCATTGCAGCTGGCTACCTGTCAGACCGGGCCATGGCAAAGGTGAGTGGGCAGAAGAGACAGGAAGAAGGGTCCCTTTAAATCTTCCCAGTGTGACTGGGGAAGGCCCCAGAGAGGTGAGAACCCTGGGTATAGGCAGGTTGGCATATGCTGGTTTAGGATGGGTAAGGTGGGAATTTCAGGCTACTTTTCTTTGCTAGGTACATGGAGTTAAGGCTCTTAGAGAAACTGATGTCAAGGAAGGCCAGAATTTCTCAGCCTAGTCTGGGGCTTCTGCATGGCCCTAGGGAAACCCGGATTTGGGAGGGACTGGGTGCAGCTTGCCAGCATATGCTGCAAGCATGCCCCATGGTGGAGGAAGGGATGTGGTGGAGTTTGGCCTCAGAGCCAAGTGAGCAGGTCCTGGGGCGGCCCTGGCCCAGGAGCTGTGGTGGGGCTGCCAGCGATCTGTCGGTGGAGGCCCTGCTCTGCCAGAGTCCAGGGTTGGGGATTCTCTGTTGCTCCTGTGACCTGACATCACTGGGACTATATCCACAGGCAGGGCTGTCTGTCTATGGGAGCCCTCGCCATGGTCTACTGCTGTCCATGATGGCTGGCATGACAGTGTCCATGTACCTCTTCCGGGTGACTGTGACCAGTGACTCCCCCAAGGTGAGTAAGGAGGGCCTGATCCTTGCAGGCACAAAGGTGAGCAACTGACTGCTTCCTCTCTCCCTGGCTCCTGCCTGGCCCAGGCCTTTCTTGGCTTCTCATTTTCCCTTTCAGTCCTGTTTGTAACTCAGTCCCTCTCCTCTGTACTTTGGTGTCTTCTCAACTCTGGGCCTGGTTTCCTTCTCTCCCCTGTGCTCCTCTAGGATGCCATCTGGACTCCGGTTCTTCACCCTCTTGCTGAGCTCACAGGCTTTACGGAGCATGAGGTGCTTTTTTCTCTGGTTTTCCTCCTGGTTTGTCTCACCTTTGCATACCCTCATGCCTTGCCCCTTGACACTCTACTTGCATTCAAGGACAGGCTCTAGCATGGGGGAGAAGGGATGGCCTCTGGCCCTTCTTCACCCACTCACATAGGCCCTTGGGTTGGCGCAGTGTGGCGCCCTCCACTGTCAGTTGTACTGGGAAGTGAGTAGGCGTCTCTTCACTACAGCTGTCTGCTCCTCTGGGCCAAGCATGATTGCCCAGTGGCAGGGGTGGATGGGCTGGCTGTCTCAGACTCGTAACTGCCACTCTGCACTGCCCTTGCAGCTCTGGATTCTGGTATTGGGAGCTTTGTTTGGTTTCTCCTCCTACGGTCCCATTGCCTTGTTTGGAGTTATAGCCAACGAGAGCGCTCCTCCCAACTTGTGCGGAACCTCCCATGCTATTGTGGGGCTCATGGCCAACGGTAAGTGATGTCCTCTAGCTTCTTCCTTACCCCTATTTATGCCTTGCACAAAGGCCAGCTAAAGGCTGGAGCAAGCCCCGCTGACTCAAGTCTCACCAATGACTCCAGCTCTTCCCCTCCTGTCTGACAGTGGGTGGCTTTCTGGCTGGGTTGCCCTTCAGCACCATTGCCAAGCACTACAGTTGGAGCACCGCTTTCTGGGTGGCTGAAGTGGTCTGTGCAGCCAGCACAGCGGCCTTCTTCCTCCTGCGAAACATCCGCACCAAGATGGGCCGAGTGCCCAAGAAGTCTGAGTGAAGAGAATTACAGATTCTGGAACACCCTCTTCTGTCTGTGGCCTTGCCCCTGCACATGAAGTGGGTGGGGGCTGCTCTAGTGAGCACTGAACCTCTGACTTACCTTTCCTGCTCCTTTTCCCTTGCCCAGGTGGTGCCGGAAGTTATCAGTGGCTAATGAGATCCCAGCTCCCCATCCCATACTCTGTTTAAAGGACAATCTTTGTTCTTGGGCTCCACTAGCTCCTCAGACAGCCAGGAAATACTTGAGTCAGGGAGTCTCCCGCTCCTGGGTCCTATCCCCACTCCCACCTGAGAGCTGCAGGACACCAATGGCCCAGGACCTCTGCCCTGAGTCCACTCAGCAAGAGGCATGGCAGCAGCTACTGCCAAGGCTCAGGATCTAGGGGAAGAGAGGCTGTCCCTCTCACCAGTACCGTAGGTGTATGGGGTATGGGTGCAAGGGTAGGAATACTTGATAGATTAAAACTAGATTTGATACTAAACACTGTCAGTCATTCTTTCAAAAGAAGTACTAGAAGCTAGAGATAGCTTCCTCTGGAAAAAATCCTTCGTACCTGTTCCTTCTACACAAAAGGGAGGCTTCATTCCCCTGGAATGGGAAAGATGACGTGCAGATGGACTCTCTATGGCCTTCAACTTAATGCCGTGTAACTCAGTGATCATTTTGGAAGTGAAGCTACCGGGTTATCAGGAAGACTAAATAACTTGACAGACAGGTGGCAACGTAACAGTGGCTCACTGACAGGGCAGTCAGAAGTGTGAGTTCAAGCACAGACGGACATTAACTTTGAGACTTGGAGACAGAGAGAGCTTGTACTTTCCTGTCTGTAACAGAATGTGTTTGCTGAGGTTACGGTGAGAATAAAATGGTAAACATTTGATCATCATCCTAAGAAATTCGCAGTTATTCTGGAACAAGACCCAAGGTTCCTGACCATGAATATGTATTTGCTTTCTTTTCTACCAGAACCCTTTATCTCATTTTCCCAGAATTCCCTTATCCCTGTCTCCCCTCCAAAACCTTTCCCCCCCAAACCATTAATTACGATAGCAACATTGAGATCAAAGGAATGTTTATTACAGCATTTATGGGCCCACTTCCTCCATAAATAAATGTACAGGGTTGGGAAGTAGGCCCTGATAGCTAAACGAGGGAAGAGAGCAAGGTATTAAGGCCGGGGGACCAGTACATGTTATCAGGCTCAGCATCCTCCCATTTTCAAGTGCACTAGCAAGGCTGCTGGGGTTTCCACTGGAGTGGAACTAGCAGGGACCCCTGCTGCAGGATTGCTCAAATTTGGGTGGGGTGGGGTGGGGATGATCCATTGCACGCTCAGGCTAAGACCCAGGTCCAAATGTTCCAGCCTTCTCAGCCACCTCCAGGGCTAACTTCAGGTTCTGGTCAAACAGCTCACACCTAGGCCACGCCCGGGAGACATAATGAGGACAAAGGTTGAGGCCCTCTCCCTGCTTTAGGTGCAGAAGAGAGCAGTGAAAACTCTACTTCAAGAATATGAAAATTACTCCAAGAACATAAAAGCCATGGCAAGTTTCGGCATGGCAAGTTTCTCATAGTAAGTAAAAGGCTAGTCTTTTTCTTTTTTATTTAAAAGTAACTACTACATGTAAAATGACTTTTAAAAGATCACATAGGGAGAAGGAATAGGACCACCTACCTGATGGGCATTTCCAGAGAATAGAATGGATTCTTGAGGGCAAAGTCTGAGTAAATTTCATAGATCTTTCGGAGAAGTGAGTCTATTCCAGCTTGCCTGGGATCTGCTAGCACCACAAACTTGATCCCTGGAGAAAAGCCAAGAATGGTTGCCAAGGGGTAACCATGCAGCAAATTTGGCAAAGCACTTTCATAAACCCGTTTTAATGTTGTCATTATTGCTATACAATCAGGAGAGAGAAGAATCTGACTCTTTAATGGAGAGAGAAAAGGTGAAGTGACTTTATCACATCAGCCAGTGAACTTAGAGACCAGCTCTAGGTTTGCCACCTACTTCTAACCATAGGGTTCTGCACCAGAAAGTGCCAGGCACAGGACAAACTCCTGAATTTTTCAATTACCTGCATTAATGAGCTGAAGCAGTAGCACTTACGATACAAAGCCCATTTCCATGTAGTACTCAAATTTCATTTTGGAACACTCATACCTTTCAGTTTGTCCAACGTAACACTAGGGGAGTTTTAATTTGTGCACGGGATCACGGAGATTGAGCATGCTGGGTGGCATGGACAAAAATCAGTGTCAAATTAAATATTGGTTTTGGATTCACACAAAAAATCAATGTCTCTGTGCAATTATTCAGAAAGAACCACCACCCCATTTGCTTACCAAAACTATCATTGGCCAATCCCTTCCCCCAGCCTACCCCACTTGGGATAGGCTTATCTGGAAGGCATACCTGTCAGTGTCTGGAAACAGTGCAGTTTGAATGTGTCTGTCTCCAGCATCTCAATGCCTGAGCTTCCCTGTTCAGGAGACAGCTGGGAGCCAATTGCAAAGAGCCTATTTGCAGAGGAGGAAAAGTTGGGAATGTACCCTTCTGTTGTAAGGGAAGTGTGCTGCTTAAGCTTTCCACTTAAGTGACCCTGTCTGTTTAAGAATTCACATCTCAGCTTCACACCCTCAGGTGAGGCAGTGAGATCTTCTGGTGGAACAACAAGAGTTCTTTTTTTTTTTTTTTAAGATTTATTTACTTATGCATATAAGAACTGGGGTACAGGCCAAAGGTGTGGAGGGAGAGAGGGTTCACCAGAGACAGAGTGGGGAGAACAGGCAGATCTACTGAAATACACTGCTGAGGGCCAGTCAGGAGAGGTCTGCTGCACCATGTGGGTCACCTCTCTGGCTGGGGATAGAGCTAATGTTCTATCTGCAGTGGCTGCAGATAGCTTCATAGTGCTGTGCTTTAACCCGCTGGGTCACCAGGGAGGCCCCAAGTATCAAGATTTCTTTAAAACACACCTAAATTCTGCTTTGTTATAATACAGTTTACATTTAAATTTTGGTTAAAACGAACATTCTGGGAATCTGTGTCATGCTTATTCATCTGTGGCTGTGGATACCCAGTTCCTCTCATAAGACAGCTAAGAGCAGAAAAAGACCTTAAAGATCATAGTTAACTGCTTTCAAGATGGAAGAAACTGAGGCTCAGAGAACAGCAGCTGACTTAAGCTCACGACCGCCGATATTACCTAAGTCCTTGCCACACGGAATCAATTATTTTTCTTTTCATAACACAAGAACTGATTATTTAAAAGACAGAGATAAGTAAGCTCTGCCTTTCGGGAGGCTGCCAGTTGAGCCACACTAACCCTTAAGAGTCAAGTAAGTGCATGCTGACAGGCAGCAGGACGGGCTGGGGGACTCACGAGTGGAACATGGAGGCCAGCATGAGCTTCTCATTGGAGGTGAGACGGGGTCGGCCGAATCGAATGGACACCGGGTAATTAGCAGGGTTGCTCAGATACTCCAGCACTTCTTTCCCATCGGCTGTGTGCTTGCCATTCACGTCCACGCCATTGATGGCCAGCACTGCGTGGCCCACTACAGAGGAGAGGCTCAGGGTCAGCAGATTCCGCCGAGCGGGCGAGGGATCCGACCCCAAGCCATAGCCCCCGGACCTCACAGGACACCAGCCCACTTCTGCAGCACCGGGCGCCGCCCTCTGGCTCCAAGCCTGACCCACCCCGGATGCCGTCCCGCTGGCCAAAGGCAACCAGGACACGTTCGTCGTGTAGCTTGAGGAGCAGATCAAGAGGGTAACTGAAAGTTTTTTCGGCCTCGGCTCGTGGCGCGTAGCTGTCTAACTGGTAAATCAGGCCGCCAGCTTTGTTCACCACATAGACACTAAAGATCGCCATTGCTGCCGCCGCAGCTGCAGAACCCAATTCGGGTCTTCCCGATGGCTCCGCCCCGGAAGTGCGCCCGTACCCGCCCCCCCTCCCAGCTCGGCGCACGGCCTACTGAGGCGCTCGCGCCCTGGAAGCGCGACGTTAACCCCGGGAAAGTAGTTGCCAACTTTTGGCAAACATTTCCGCCTCTCTTTCCCGGTTCTTAGAGCCAAGAAATGACAACGTTTGCGTGCTTCGCAACTAACGGCAGTGGGGCGCCCGCATGCCACGACGCGCTCCTGCCCGCGCCACATCCGCACCGCCGAACTTCCTCCCGGGGCCCCGCCCCTTGGCCCGGAAGCACTTGTGTGGGTGGAGGGTTCTGGGCTCACTCGTGAACGGCGCTTCCTTTTTGTCCGACATCTTAGCGAGGCTGCGTTGATAGTTCTACCCTCCGAACTTCGCAATGGTGAGTTCGGGGCTACGAAGCCGGCGCTGCTCTGAGAGCGGGGCGGTGCGAGGGCTTCGTTGAGACGGCGCGGCGAGAGGGCACTATGGGCAGTCGGGGTGCATCTCCGGGCGCGCGGGCGCACTGCTTTCTCCATGTGCTTCGGTGGTGGAGCTGGCGTAGGGGCTGGGCGGCGCGGGAGGAGGGGGACCTGGGGGTTGTTGGAGGACTTAGCTGTATTCCGTCCGTTTTCCTACAGCCTCCCAAAGATGATAAAAAGAAAAAAGATGCCGGAAAGTCGGCCAAGAAAGACAAAGACCCAGTGAACAAATCTGGGGGCAAGGCCAAAAAGAAGGTAAGTGAGGGAGACTGGGAGCAGCGAACGCGTTGCGCTGCACCGATGTGACGTGGTGGCCGGTGGTTAAGGGCGTGGGGTCTAGACTCAGTACTGTGATCTCGCCTTTTTGTCCCCGTAAGTTGAAGAGTGGGGCAGTATACACAATTTAGAAAGCGAGTGTGGGCACAGCACATAACTAACTTCACGGTCCCATGGACCTCAGCCCATCTCCGAAAATCGCAAACATGTGCTCTTTCTCTCTAAAAATAACTCGTAGCCTTTATTAGCGTTAGTGGTAACCAGTGTCTTTTGTTTGGTACTCTGCAAATTCAAATAGCTATATATAGTTAAAATCAGAGCTTCTACAAAATTTGCATGTCAGAGGTTTCCACATGCCATGGAACCTAAGCTTGTTCTCAGAATATTCCTACAAACTTGGAAAAGAGTTGTCTGAATTAGGTTAAGAGGGGATGAGTGTTACTCCAGAAGCACTGAATCTTTCTTCACGTTTGTTTTGTTTTTGTGAGTAGAAGTGGTCCAAAGGCAAAGTTCGGGACAAGCTCAATAATCTAGTTTTGTTTGACAAAGCCACATATGACAAACTCTGTAAGGAAGTGCCCAACTATAAGCTCATAACCCCAGCTGTTGTGTCTGAGAGACTGAAGATTCGTGGTTCCTTGGCCAGGGCAGCCCTTCAGGAGCTCCTTAGTAAAGGTAAGAGGGGTGAAGGATATATTGACCAGTGTGCATTTTAAATTGACCTGACCATGTTAACCATTTTAAATGTTTTCACTGGGACTATAAAAATAGACGTGGCTGGCCATTAGTTGTTGCTGACATGAGCCATGGAACCCCTGAGTGTTAGGTAAAGTCTGGGGACCCTTTATATTTTCAAGTAAAATACATACGTAGAATTATAATGTTTTATTAATATACTGAATTAAACATTTAGTGGTGGAGCTAAATACTATGTTACTACATACAAATATTTTACAGCTATCTGTAATGCCTAGTGTGGAAATAGTGATTTAAAATATATTAGGAGCAGATAGTATGCCACCAGTTTTTAGAAGTCTACCTAAAATTAGATAAATCATCCAGGCTTGTACGCCCTGCCTGCCTCTTTTATGTGTTTTTATGGTCAGACACATTTTTGCAGGGAGGGATATAAAACTCAGTTTATTGCAGCTTTTGAGTGACTCATAATGCTTCTGTGAAAATACCCTTTCTCTTTAGGACTTATCAAGTTAGTTTCAAAGCACAGAGCGCAAGTAATTTACACCAGAAACACCAAGGGTGGAGATGCCCCCGCTGCTGGCGAAGATGCATAAGCAGGTGAGCAGGGGCCTCACGTACTATGCGAAGCGTGCATCCCCTTAAAATGCTTTTATGGTTCTGATTCTTTTGAATTTTTTTTTGCAGGTCCCACCAACTGTACATTTTGAAAAATAAAACTTTATTAAATCAAAAAAGTGGGTATGTCTGTTTCCTAAGGGAATTGTAAAGACTAGCAAGTATGACTTCAATGGTTTGTCTTTGAGTTTTGTGGTTATTAAAGTATCAGGAAACCATTAGCTTTTTTTCTTGGTGTGATGCTGTTTGTTCCTTGCTGCAGCTTCACTTTTGAATTGATGCCTGAAAGGAAACAAAAGATTAACAGGATGAAGTAGTCTCCAACATAGTTCATAATCTGGGTTCCTAGTCCTGGGCCTATACCTGGATTGCCAGCGGCGTCCATTATTCCACACCCGACCAAAAGAGGGCAGCCAGCCTGCACTGGTGCTGGAGCTGTGATCAAAGTTGGCCCCAACTCTTTCTGGAGGGAGTTTCTTCAATTTCTGTTTTTCCTCTGCAGTGATTGGTAAATAGTTTTGAGTGAGATGAATTTATGGGCCCAATTGCTCTCTTGAATTTACTTACTTTCTTTAAGGAACTCTTCATAGGAGGGTCCTATTAGTTGGTGCCCAGAGCTACATTCCTCATCTTGGACCATCCAGGGAGGTGTGGCACCTGGAAACAGAAGGCCCATTAAGCAGAACTGAAGGCAGGTCATGCTGCTGTGAACCATACCCTAGTTATAGCCATACCTGTTTGAGAACTGGAAATGTTAAAAAGCAAAACCCAGGAACTCTGGACCTTGGGAAGCTGAGTGCCCTAGTGTAATTCAAAGCAACGTACCTCGCACATGGTACAATTATGAAATAGCGCTACTAAGACATGCAACAAAGTAAATACGTTGAAAGTATGTAATTGGAAATATTTCGAGTGAAACCACAATCAAGATAACCAGATAAGCTTTTACCCTTTTAAAATACTTCTGTACCTCCCTAAGCAACCACTGATTTGTATTGTCACTGTAAATGAGTTTACATTATCTAGACTTACATACATGGAGTATCTTCTACCTTTTGGGGGTAGGCTGTTAGCATATTCATGATTCAGTAGTTATTAGGTGCTATTCCATTCATTTGTTGGGGACATGGGTTTTTAATTTATGGCTACTATATTTAGGATGAAAAATTACCTCTTACGTTTGACAAACAGTGCCCTGGACCTTACCTGAGTGGATGTTGCCAACTCCTGGTGTGTCCTGTAGTTGGAAATGGGGAGAAAAAGGTAAAGCTGAGGGGCCCTCCCTGGTGGCATAATGGTTAAGTCTCAGTGCTATCATCAGTATGGTCTGAATTTAATTCCTGGCCAGAGAGCTAGCCACATACAATGCAGCAGACCTCATATCTCGCCCCTGCTCCCCACTCTTGTCTCGAATCTTCTCACCCTGACACAGTGCTCTGGCCTACATCAAAAGTAACATTTGGTGTCCAAAAGTAGTGCCTACCATGTATCAGGAAATAAAAAACCTTGCCCTCACAGTATGAATTACACTGTGCAAATACTGCTTTACGTGGTATAAACTCAAGACTGGTAGATACTTCTTCCATGAAGTGATGATGAGCTAAGAACTGAAGGAGGAATAAGCTTTAGCTTGGTAATCGATGGGAAAGATTATGGAGTTCAGAAGACAGTAAGTGGAGAAAAAACTTGGCAGGGTGGAATAGAGCAGTTTATATTCAGAAAGGATTTGCTGGAGAAGTGTGGGGTAAGGGTGTCAGTGTATCCTGCATTGTGAGCTGGAACTGAGTTCTGCAGAAGGCAGGATTTTAGTTGGTGTTCCTAGTGGCAGTGTGGTCATCTCGGAGGGTGAAAGGGCAAAGCCTGAGAAGGCAGAAATGGCCAGCAAAATAATCAGAGAAACTAGGAGAGGGTGTCTGATAGCCAAAGGGGGCTTGGTGCTCTCCTGGCTTACACTGTACCTGATGGCCAATGAATGTCAAAGGCTGTCCTGTCTCCATCCAGTCAAACTCCGGGGCTGGTGGTAGGTGCAAACGTGAGGGCGGCTGTGAGGTAGAGGCTACTTGGCTGAAAAAGACAAAATGGCGTCTGGCTGTCCTTGCTCAGGGGGACAATAAAGATAATTCGTTCCTATTTCCCAGCCAAAATGTTAACGAATGCTCTTAACATGTCAAACTTCCAATAAGAGAATCTAACAGTCTTACCTGTTAGTCCCTTTCCAGCTTCCAGGTGCTGAAGAACCCTCTTCTGGGTCTGGTACCGCCTGAGGCTGAGTTTGATTCAGGAAAAATAAATGTGTCTAGGACACTTAAGAGCCTACCTAGGCCATGCTCCCACCCTCTTGAGGTAACAAATTGGCATAGCGAGGGTACTGCCCATCTTAAACTCTTCCCTCCTAGTCCAGCCCATCCCATATCTCTACTGACAAGTTCTGCCCCTAAGTGGACAGGTTAGGGAGCTCAAGCCCAGCAGGTGAAGCGTGGAGTCTGAGTTCTCTTAGAAGAGCTGGTCTGTGAAATGCTGGAGACCTGGGAGAACCAGGGATCTGTGGATGTGGATACTGCTCTGGATCCTCCGAGGGAAACCAACCTCTAAGACAGACCGAACCATCTCCTGTCGGCTTTGCTCCACCTCACGGATCTGAGCTGCCATCTGTGGAAGAGAAGGTCCTTAGATAGTAGGTCATGGGCTGGGCCCATCACAGGCTTTTTGAACTTACCTCTTTGATCACCTCATCCTCTTTTTCCTCATAGGCATCTAAACCTTTCACCATGGATTTCTTGAATCTAAAAGGAAAAACGGCAAATAAATCCAGCGCACCAGTCCCTACCAGTTATGAAAAGATCATCAGTAAATTTTCTTTAAATTTTATTAACTTACACAGAATACACAAAAACAACCACATACCTCACCCAGATTCACTGTTAATATTTTGCCACACTATCAAAACCTCTCCTTTATACACATATTTCCTGTCACCCAAAACAAAAGTAGGTTTTAGAACATTGTAAGACTCATATTTCAACATGACTCCTAAGACAAGGATTAGTCCATGAAACCACAACATCGTTAACTACACCCGAGAAAATCACTTCTTTTTCATGTTCAAATTGTCCCATATTTGGGTAAACATCAATATACTTGCTGTTTACCATTTGAAAGAAAAAATTTCAGGATAACTGATACCACTATTAATGATAACAAAGCAAAGCTCAAGATTTCTTTGCAGTTCTCTTAGAAAATATCTTCCTGGGGTGTACATTCAGAATTTTTATTGTTTTATTTGTAATTATTGCCAATTTGATACACAGTTAATAATCTGGTCATTTCAGGCTTGGCTTGTAAAACATGTAAGGGGTCACTCCTACAATGGTGCTCTGGCAACCTTGTACCTAGCCATGGAAGTAAAACCTTGAACTACAGCTCATCAGTGTCTTGGCAGAAGGCCTGTGCATTCCTTTCAGAACACAAAAGGAGGCATGACAGGAGCTAACAGGGCATCTCTACTTACCTCCCTATCCCCTGAGGAGCTGTTGTAAGAAGTTTCTCATCAATTCTGGGGTTCTGGTGAGGTAGGGGTCTTTCTGCCTCACCCCTTGCAGATAGAGCTACAGTCTAGATTTGTCTCCAAAGCAACAAGATAAACTGCAACTCACTGCAGCCATCCAGCCCTTATGTTTCAGTGTGCTCGCTCGGTGCTGGCAGCGAGAACCTGGAAAGCTGGCATTTGAAGCTCACTCTCTCCACTGTCTAAGCAGTAACTACCTAAGTCTCAGTGTCTCACTGTATCTACTGGTCAAATCACTCAGGTTTAGCCGTGCCTTGTCTTGGGTGAAATTTGGCTTGAAATTTATTACTATTAAAAAACCAAAACTATTTAAATTAAAAGTATCTCTTACAAATCTTGTTTCTATTCTGTCAACTCTCTGCTATTCCCGTGGATCCCCTATAGACAGTCCGTTCATTAGCTTTTGATTGTCCTTTACTATAGGCAGCATAAAATACAAGTTTCTTTTGTGTTTTGCTTTTTTCACTTAACTAAATATTCTGGAAACTGACTACGTTCAAAGAGTTCATCTTCTGAATTCTCAATTACAATGTTTTTCTGCTCAGCCATCCTTTATACACCCACCAAAAATCATAAGCAGTTGTATCATGGTGTGAAGAGTGTACTTTTTGGCCTTAGTTCCCACCTTCCAGTTGAACTACAGGTTTGAAGGTAAGGTAGTAGATTTAGGCACGTCTCATTCCTTTGTTCTCCACACTGAGTAGAGAGGATAGATGCCATGAGTTTTTCTGTATCTACCTGAGATTTCTTTGGGTTCCAGCTTCCATCATCTCAGCATGTTCTTTTCTTGAGCTGTCAGAGATCAAACACTCTCCAGGCTAACTGGAAGTACCCCACTTTCTCAGAGGTCTATGCCATTCAAAGTAGGCTGAGGAAACATCAGTTTGTTGAACACTATAAACAACCTCTTCTGTTCCTAAAGGGGCCTTAACTATTCTGTGTGCCAGACATTTAAGTAGTCGAGTAGTCAATTATTACTATAATATATACTGTTCTGTATTTCCTAATGCACTATAAATCCCAACTTCCAGCTATTGGGTTGTCAGAAAAATCATGACACATTTTTTCATAGGAAACAAAAAATAGGCCTTCCCTGGTAGCGCAGCGGCTTAAAGCACAGTATTATGAAGCTAAAGCCACTTCTGCATAAGTTTGATTCCTGGCCAAGGAGGTGACCCACGTGGCATGGCAGAACTCTCCTGACTGGTCTGCTGTTCCTCTCAGCAATGTATTTTAGTAATCTGCCAGTTCTGCTCCCCACTCTGTCTCTGGTGAGTTCTCTCACCACCCCTGCACCCCAGTTCTGTATGCATAAATAAATAAATCTTAAAAAAAAAAAAAGTCATGACTTTTTGACAACCCAGATTATAAACCTAACAGGTACTCTGTCATATTTGTGTCCAACAGTGTGTGAAGACGACAGATACTTATTAAGTCCTTACTGGATTTTTCCATTATTAGAGCATTCCAATACAGACACAGGCCCAGAGAATTCACATTCCACTACTTCACTTTCCTAATCCTGTGACTCACCGTGCATAATCCTGGGGGGAAACTAGAAATTTCTCTTTCATCTGGGATTCAGCTTTGTTTTCCCACCAGAACCTGTTGGTTGCTTTCCTGTGTTCTGGGCTGAGAATGGAGAGGATGAGTATTTTCAGTAATAGATTACAAACTATTACACAGATAACTAGGCATTAGATAAATAAAGCAACTAGTAGCTGGGTTTCTGCCTCTACGCAGGGCTGAGAAGAATGGTGTTAGCAGTCTCCTCCAGGTCTCCAGCCTCCCTCTTTTCAATAAAAATGTGAGAAGAGAACCTGGTGGTGCAGGGTTAAAGTCTCAGTGCAATCAAGCTATGAAGGTCACTATGGCATGAGTTTGATACCCATCCCTGGCCTGGGGGGAGACCCATAAGGCCCAGCAGACCTCTCCTGTCTCACCCGCAGCTCCCCTCAGCAGTGTCTTTCAGCAGATCTGCCTCTTCTGCTCCCTCATTGTTTCTGATGAATACTCTCACCTCCCCCAGCACCCCAGGCCTACACTCCAGCTCTTGTATGCATAAATAAATCTTTTTTTTTTTTAAATGAGAATCCGGGAGGAAATAATGGGGTAACCTTGAGCTAGCCACCCACCGACACCACTGGACCATGTCTGCCATAATCCCTCACGGTTGGCAATGCCTATAAGGTGATTCCATCCATCCACCCTGATCAAATCACGAAGGTATTCTTCCTCTCACCCACAGAACACTCCCTCCCAAGTACGTATACGAATGTCCTGAATGCGTATCGCAGTCCGATCTCACCTGGCCAGATGCTCCAGGAGCCCCCCGTGTAGCACGGTCAGGTTTCCGTGGCTCAGGTGTTTCCGCACCTCGCAGCTGCAGCACAGACACCAACAGCATCGTTCATGCTCCGGTACGTAACGCTCCACCTGCGCCGCGCGGACGGCCTTGCGTGCTGCCTCCACCTGCGGCGGAGGGTAGAAGCCAAGGTGGGCGCCGGGATCCCTCACCGCATCGCCCGCATCCCCGCCCCAGGCCGTCACTACCACAGCCTGCCGTCCGCACCTGGGGCAGGAGCCGCTCCAAAGCCACCTTCAGCTGCCGTTGGTGCTTGCGACTGTAGACGTGCCCGCGACCACAGAAGAAGGTCTGGCGGCACAAAGCGCAGCGTTGCGCGGACTCCATCCGCTCAGGACGGGCTCACAGACCCGGTCCCAAGAGGCGCCTTGGAGCCTTAGCCATCCAGTGACCCCTGACCTCCGGGGGCGGAGCCAACCCAGCGGCCCCCGCGGCGGGCGGGCGCCGCTTCAAGCTCTTCTGCGGCTGCGCAGCTGCGTCCCCGCCTCTCTCGCGCGGCGCCAACCTGCCAGTCCAGGATTTCCTCAAAAGCTTCTAAAACAGTGGCCATTACCGCTATGCCACGAGCGGGTAAGAGTGCAGATAGGTGGCGCTGCAGGACCACAAGTCACAACTCGGGACATTGGCCAGGGCCCGAACTAGATGATGTAACAGACCGTAACAATTACAGGGTCTTCACTGTGTCCAGAGCTTTAACCACTTAATCGTCAGAACAACCCTCTACTAGGGCTACTAGGTTCCTGGGCACTTTTCCAATGGGAAAACAGCCATAGGAGAGCAAGCAAACTTGCTTAGTAAAGTCTGGAGGCAGCACTTGGGCTCAGGGACCCTCCAGGATCAGCGGGTAAGGACGGGCTGCAGGTGACAAAAGCCAAAGACCTCATAGTCACAGTGATATACGCCCACAAGGGTGTACAAAAGTTAATCCTGTGAAGCTGTAAAGGAGAAGCAGAATCACTGCTGAGGGTTAGCAGACATTGTAAACCTAAAAATCTTAATCTACTAGGATTTGTATTAATTCTTTGCAAGCCACTTCCTGAATCAGCAGCCTCTTCGGTTCCCATCCAAGCCTTAGAGCAAGGTGAATTGCTTCCTGAAAGGACCGAAAACCTCAGGCTGAAATCTCCACCCTAGAGCTCCCCTTGAAAAACCTGGGACATAGCCAGACCTTACTTATAGGATGAACAGTGAGAGGTGATGCAGAGTCCCAAGCTTGTTTTAGAATTGTGATGACTACAAGTGCGTGGCCTGGATGGGCTGCAGTCCTGTGAGTCAGCTCTACACAACTTAAGTCCGAAGAGTAGCCAGTCTCCCTTTCACATCTTGACTTCCTGGTGGAGTTTCCCTTTAGACCCACGGGTCCACCAGATGATCCATTTTGATGAGCCGTACAACATCCAATTCCTTGAACTCCCATTCTTTCCCTGGTAGGGTCAATTCTGGACCTTGTCCACCCAAGTCTCTTCTTTCTATGAATCTGAACTCTGAAGTTGTGCTCTGACCAGTACCTTCTATCCTATGTGGCCTAGCCTCCAATCAGTCTTTAAATGCAGGGAGACCTCCACTCCTAAAGATGAGTACTCATCGATTTACTCAGAAAATTAGACAGCATCTGCCTTTTGCCAGATGCTTTGCTCTAGGCCAGTGGTTTTCAAAGTGTGGCCTCTAGGCCAGCAGCATTAGCATCTGGAGCTTGTTAAAAATACAAATTATTGCTTTCCCATCTGCCATCTGGTAGAACAGCCGCCAAGGTGCAGATTTTCATGAAAACCCTTATGGAGAAGACTGTCACTCCTCAGGTTGAACCCTCAACCTCCAGATACAATAGAAAAGGTAAAGGCTGGTGTCCTCCTTGGTGGTACAGGGGTTAAAGTAAAGTCTCAGTGCTATCAAGCTGTTGCCAGTCTCTGGCCAGAGTTCCATCCCTAGCCAGGGAGCTGACCCACATGGTGAAGCAGGCCTCTTCTGTCTTAGACTGCTGCTCCCTCAGCAATGTATTTCAATAGATCTGCCTGTTGTGCTCCCAACTCTGTCTCCAGTAAATCCTCTGGCCTGTACCCCAGTTCTTCTGTGTAAAAATAAATAAAATCTTTGAAAATAAAAAAAGTGAAAAGATAAAGGCCAAGATTCATGATGAGGAAGGAATTCCTCCTGATCAGCAAAGACTGTTTTGCTAGCAAGCAACTGGAACATGTACAAACTTTATCTGACTACAGCAGGAATCCACTCTTCATCATGTCTTGAGACTGCATGGTGGTGCTAAGAAAAGGGGAAAAAAAAAGTCTTTACTACTCCCAAGAAAAATGAACATAAGAGAAAGGAAGTTAAGCTGGCTGTGATGAAATGAGGCAGGTGAGATGGTCACCTCATTGGGGATGCCCATGTGCTGAATGCAGTGATGGAGTTTTTTTTTTTTTTTTTAATTTTATAATAGTTTATTTTTACATTTTTTTTTACATATTTTTGTGCATTTTTCCATCTCAGTAACATACACTTTTGAGTCACTGGATTTTTGTATTTTTAAAAGCATAACAATGAAATAACTAAAATAATAGTAAAAGAAAAACTTGTGTTTTACTAATGAATTATGTCTTGAACTGAAATATTAATCTCATTGTATTTACTTAAATAGAACTGGATATGTAAGTTATTTATAGGTAGACTTCTAAGTATAAATACATTTTATACTATACATTTCTCTCCTTTTTTAACAACAGCTTCTTGTCTCATTGGGGGTGATTTTTTTTTTTTTACAAAGTTTATTTTTACATCATTTTGCACATTTTTTTTTTCCATCTCGATTGTAATCCCCGCGGGTTTCCCATCACCAAATCACCCCTGTGCCACCACCATAGTCCCGTGCATTTCCCTCCCTCCCCCCCCCTTTTTGATCCCATTCCCCACTCCGCCCCCACAGCAGTGATGGAGTTTTTAATAGCCAGCCGCTCTGACAGACATTACTGTGGCAAATGTTGTCTGACCTATTGTTTCAACAAACTAAAAGACCAGTAACTGTGCATGAGTTAATAATAAAAGATACTAACTTTTTAAAAATACACAAAGTTTTTTGGCCTCAGCCCAGACCTATGGAATCAGGAACTCTGGTGTGAGGCCCAGGGACTGGTGATTGAATAAGCCTGGTGATCGTGATGCTCAATCAAATTCGACAGTCACTGGTCTCAGGTCCTTTTTAACTCACTTTAACCACTGGATCCCAGAAGTAGTTCGACCACATTCTCAGGGCAACCTATTACTTCACTTGCCCTTCTAGGACCCCCCATACTGTCAACCCTCAAATGTGAATAAGCCATTGTTTCCTTCATTCGTTCCAAAGCTTCAAAGAGGAGTTTACGCTGTCTCCTTCAACTTCTATTAAATTCGTCCTCTGCAATTTTACTTTTGAAACTGTTGCCCTAAAGTTCTGTACATTAACTTTTTACTCAGATGCCATCTGAAATCCACTTGTGTAAAATGGAACTCAACATCTTCCTCTTGAAAACATTATTTTCATCCTCCCTTGACTGACACCATCAAGCTCGTCTGGAGTTTTGTGGTGAGTTTGGGCAATATCCCTTACTTTGTTCCTATAGCCGTACTACATACCTTGTATTATTGAATTTCTGAGATGTTTAAAGTCTGTTCTCTACTTTTAAATGTTTGTAGAACATACCTTACTTCAACGTCCTTCCTTTCTTGCTTGGATCAGGTGAAATCTTTCTAACTGGTTTCTGAGTATCTTGTCTACTATAGTTCTATCTTCCAGACTCTGGTTTTAAGAAAGTCTCAAGAATGATTTTCTTGATTACTGTAATGCCTCTATATTGACTTCAGGAATCATCTAAACTTTCCAGAATGACTTCCAAAGGTTTTTACAATATAATTTTCAACTTTCCTTTCAGTCTGTTTTCCCACCATTTCCTGAGACCGCCCTGATCTCTCCCCTCCACTCCTCCAGGCATCATTCCAGCTGTCCTATTCTTTTATACACTCGAGCATCTCCAGTTCTTGGTTCACATTGGTTGGAATTCTCCCAGTCATAATACAAAACTCTGAAATATGAACTAGAATGAAACTTTCATGAGGCTGGTGACTTTGTAAGCTCTCAATTCCTTCATAAGCTATTTTTCATTATTGAGTAAATAAAATGTCATCCTTTTTGTGAAGCCTGCAGAATAATTTTTCAACTCCAAAGTCTTTTGTCCATTCTGGCCCCATTTTTGTTTCGTAGTGATCTGAAATCCCAGTAGTAACAAAGCTTCTCAAGTGAGGTAATTCTGTCTTGTTCATGAGTGCTCTTTCTAGAGTTACCATAAAGTGGTCTTCCATGCTTGTTCATCAGATTAAGGTAAATTTATCAAAAACTCAGTTGCCCTGGGATTAGCACCCTTGGGATGGGACTTTGTGCAGGAAAGAAGTGCAGCAAAATTTCATGAATAGTATCAAACTCTAAAACAGGCTAATGGATAACTTTACTTATTTAAAAATCATAAAAAATAATTTCTCTTGTAAAAAAAAAAACAAAAAACTAGAGGCTTTTTTTGTTTGTTTCCTGTATGTTGTGCTCCCCCATCATCAAAGATGACTAATGCTGTTTAATACCTGTATTTTCCCAAGACATTTTCTATGCCTATATACCTATTCTGTCAGTAGGTTAAGGTCAGGAGGGCCCTACCCTCTGGGCTTTGTTTATTCTGTTTCCTTCAAAAGAACACTTTTCCTTTACATTCTCCATTATCCAGCTTTTGGTTAAACCATTCTTAGAAAGGCTCCTCTAGCCTCTCTCTGATCTAATCACAACAGCCCAATTTCTTAAAAAAAATATTAATTTATACCTATAAGAACTGGGGTATAGGCCAGAGGTCTGGGGGGGGAGTGAGAGGATTCATAAGAAACAGAGTGGGGAGCAGAATAGGCAGATGTACCAAAATACACTGCTGAGGAGAGAAACGGGTGGGCCAGGAGAGGTCTGCTGCACCATGTGGGTCTCCTCCCTGGCTGGGGATTGAACTTCTGCTGCAGTGCTGCAGACAGCCACTCATTGCACCATCAGGGAGGGCCCAACAGCCCAATCTTATGTTTTCTATTATCAGTGTGTCTGTTCAATATGTCTTTCCACTAGACTGAAAACTCTGAGGAACCATTTTAGGTTTCATTTTAGTGTCAGCTCTGGCACAACTCCAGTGAAAACTCAAAACAGTTGTCCAATGAATGAAAAGGAGATGAGGGTAGGCAATTCTGTGAGAGGGTACAATGGCCAATGATAGTTATTTCTGAGTCACTTTTTCCACAAAAGCCTGTGCTGATCTCTTTCCTTCTGACCTGTTGCATTTTGGGGATCTGCTTGCAACTTAAACTGGACATCAGTAAAAGTGAACAGGAATAAAGATGTGCACAAAGCACAGGTGAGGTGGACTAGAGGCAAATCAGATGAAATCAGAGCTTAGGTCTGAGGATGCACTCCTACTTGGGAGTAGGATTGGCCAGGAGGGTAGGAGAGGAGTTTCTGGCTACACAGCCCCTGCCCAGAGTGAATGACAGGATGACACTCATGAGCTAGCCCCTAGACCACTTCTCCAGTGCACAAACATAAAAATTAGCAGCGAGACTATCAAGGAGGAGAAACTGACCACAGAGCACCTCCAGGCAGGCCAGGGAAAAGCAGTTCCCAGCTTGCTCCAGCTGTGCATCTGCATGAGTCTGTTTTTGGCACAAGTCACCTTTTCTTCCCATCCCATCCCCATTCTTCCCCACAGCCTCAGCTTCCTTAGAGCATCTGTCAATTCCTCCTCCAGACAGGTAACTGCTCTCTCCTCTGTGCTTCCAGAGAACGTGGGATCTGCTTGTTAGGTTACTAGTGACAGGTCATAGCAAAACAGTGCATAGTAGGCCCCGTGCTAGGCAGGCTCTGTGGGTCTGTTCACGAAGTGAGTCAGTCCACTGTGTTGTCCTTCCTGGTTGCTGATGTCACTGTGAGTAAGTACCTCTGGGACAGAAATGATTTCTTATACACATTGCTTGGTTTAGTGGTTCTCTACTCTATCAACCTTAATAATCTAGAATAGAGAAAGTATTTTATAAGACAAGCTTTACCATTTGAAGCAAATCTTATTGATACAATAAGATTTGTATAACCTACTACACATAACACTAATTATTTAAAAAAGATTTATTTATTTATGCATAAAAGAGACAGAGTAAAGGCCAGAGGTGTAGAGAGGTGAGAGGATTCACCAGAGACAGAGTGGGGAGAAGAATAGGCAGATCCACTGAAACACACTGCTGAGGGGAGCATCGGGTCAGATAGGAGAGGGCTGCTGTGCCATGTGGGTCACCTCCATGGCCAGGGATTGAAATCATTCTGCAGTGGCTGCTATATGTAGCTTCACAGTGCTGAGACTTAATCTCTTGCACCACCAGGGAGGCCCACATAACATTTTAGAAAAGCAGCGTACTGCTGTTACATAACAAAAATAAAGGAAGATAAATATATAAAAAAACACATTTCAATGGGAAACTTTACCTGAAAACATGAAATATTTGGAAATTCACATATTTATAGTAAATAGTTTAAAAAGATATTCAATATTCAATGAACATTGAAAATACTTTCACTTTATATTGGCTACCTTGAAATAATAGCTTGATACTGTTGTACATGTAGAATTCTCATGAATGCAGTAAACACAGACCCATATAGGTGTGCATAGTAGCAATTTAAATATGAGCGCAGCATTGCTGTTAGTTTTTCTGACCCAAATCCTACCAGAAGTTTTGGTCTGGAAGACCAGAGGTTTCTGGCAGGAAGATAGATTTGAGTTTTGGTTCCTATCTTCTTCTTTAAAAAAAAAGATTTATTTTTATTCATTTATGCATACAAGAGCTGTGATATAGGCCAGAAGTGTGGGAGGGAGTGAGACGATTCACCAGAGACAGACTGGGGAGCAGAACAGGTAGATCAACGAAGTACACTGCTGAGGGGAGCAGAGGATGGGTCAAGAGAGGTCTGCCGCACCCTATGTAGGTCAGTTCTCTGGCTGGGGATTGAACTTGCACTATAGCGGCTGTTTATAAATTAACAGTGCTGAGACTTAGCCCCTTGTGTCACCAGGAATGCCCCTTAGCTCCTATCTTCTTACCAGTCAACTCAAAAGTAAACCCTTTCAAAATTTGGGGCTTATAATAGTGGTTTTATGTGCATCAATTAGCAGGCTATTGATAGTGTCAAGTGCTAAAAGCAAATCCAGACCATTATTAGTCCACCTGCCTCCTAGAACAAGGAGGCAGCTACATGTCCTAGCCCCATGTCACATGAGCAGTAAAACAGCCAGTTTATTTAGCTTCCATGTGAACTGTGTTCAGTGAGGCTTTTGACTCCACACAGGTACAACAGTTCCTCCAATGACATCATTTTATCATGTTGAAGAAAAAATTTTGGTCATGTCAAACAAACTGTTATTTGGGGATCTACTTTTGTTCTAAGTCACAGTTTCCATTGGTGTTTTCAAGGCTCAGCGATGACATTAAGTTCAGGACTTACTATACTTAAGAAAAAGGCCTCATTAACTCATTTTCCTGGTTAGGATACTCGAGCTCAGAGAGAAAGTGCTGCTTGACATAAGCGTTTCTGGAATGAGGATGCAGGAGCAGTGGCAAGGAGCTAGATCAGGGTGGACAGACAGCAAGGAGGGCGGGAGGGAAAAGGAAGCGAAGCCACTCCAATTCTGCAGGGACTTGGGGCCCCCCAGACTATTGTTAAATACCACCAACTGCCACCTCTGAAGAGGAGTGATGCCGCTCCTGATGGGGGAGTTAGGTGGGGAAGAGTCTGAGGAGGGAGCCATATTTCTGCTGGTGTAGGTGAAGGAAGAGCAAGAGAGGGAGAGAATGGTCATCTCAGGCCTGTGGGAAATCCCTTCAAGCACTGTCTGAATGTCCGAGGCATCCACACACTGCTTTCCACCCCTTCTGTTTCACTTGTCCCCCAGACTTGTCCTTTGTCTCCTCGGACAGACCTGAGGCTGACAGCTGCCCTGGACAGTCTCCCAGGGAGTCACAGCAGCCCAGTTGGGATCTGCAGGCTCTAAGGACTCTTAACCCACAAGTACTCTTGCATCTGCTAAGGACATGGTGGAGTGTAACAGTACAGGGAGCAGCCAGACAACTCAGCTCTGGGTTCTCACCTCTCACCCCATAATAAATGGGAGAGTGGGAATGGACGTGATGAAGAATTCAGCCTGACTATTCCCTTTCACAAGAAATTCTTTCCTGGGGCCTCCTTGGTGGCCTAGGGGTTAAGGCTCAGTACTATGGCCTGAGTTCAATCCCTGCCCAGGGAGCTGACTCACATGGCACAGCAGGCCTCTCCTGTCTCATCCACTGCCTCCAGCAGTGTATTTCAGTAAATCAAACTGTTCTATTTCCTACTTTGTTTCTGGTGAATTCTCTTTCCTCCCACACTTATGGTCTATACCCTAGCTCTTGTATTAAAAAAATTTTGGGTCCTTCCTGGTGGTGTAACAGGTTAGGACATAGTAGCTTCTTCAGTGCTAGTTCAATCCCCAAACCCCAGGGGTGGTCCACATGGTGCAGCAGACCTCTTCTGACCTGCCCGCTGCTCCCCTCAGCAGTGTACTTCGTTGATCTGCCTGTTCTGCTCCCCACTGTCTCTGATAAATCCTCTCACCGCCCCTGCACCTCTGGCCTGTATCCCAGTTCTGTATATATAAAGTTTTTTTTTTTAAAGAAATTTTTCCTCTCCCCATTCTCAATGATCTTTCATACTTGCTGTGAGGCTGTGTTTCTTCCAGCTGTCCCACATCTTCCCTGTCTCCACCTAAGTACAACCACTCCTAGAAATAGGTGGTGCTTCCTTGGGTCTTTGGTAATGCTGCAAGCTGGCATCTACCAAGACTCCCTTGGCAATCAGAAAAATGAGATTGATATATACAGACAGGAAGGTATGCTCAATTTTGATCCTGCCTGATTATTTCCTACCATGGCGGCACTAGTTTTTTTTTTGTTTTTTTTTTTCCATCCACCACTGGCGCCCTTTCTTGCCACCCTCTCTCCCTCCTCCCTTATTTTCTTCCTTTGAGATTATGGGTTTCCTTTGCTCTGTATCCAGAACATCCATCATGTATCCAGCTCTGGAGGAGCTGGATACATCCTCTCCCTCTGCCTCCCTCCATTGTCAGAGATCACACACACACACACACAAGGACACAAACACACAATAGGACACACACACACTAGGATGCTGCAGATAACTTTAATAAGGCATGGCATGACTCCTGCTTTTTGGAGTCATAGGTCAAACAGGAAGGGCATCACATCTGTAAGAAAAAAAGAATGTCAAAAGAATGTGCCCTTTATAGCTGCTATTCTCTAAGTTCGGAATGTTCTCTCTCACACTCAGATAGCTACCTCCCCTCTCTCAAGGCCCAATGCCACCTAGTCTCCAGGAAAAAAATCTCCATCTGCATGTAACCTTTCACCCCAGCTTCTCACAGTGTGTGGTTATCACTTCTCTGACCTCTGGGCCTTGAGCAGGGCCAGCTGTACCTTCATTGTTTCTCCAGCAACTCCCTTACCTCACTCCCATGTTTGGGAGGGGGTCCCACCTCTGCTGTCCTCTCCTCTTCTCACAGAAGGTCCCTCCCCATGGTGTGCCCTAGGCTCCTGCCTTTCACTCACCCTTGGGTCAGGTCATCGGGTCCCCTCCCCTCAGCCCCTCTGTGGAGGTGCCTCACACCTGGCTGGCTCATGCACTGCTGGATAATTTCCAGCCGAGTGGAAGCCAAGGCCCGGGCCTCCTGCAAAAAACGACGGTTTCCCTTTTCAGTCAACTTCCAGAGGCAGGATCGAGGTCGGGTGCTGGCCACCTCCTCCTGCATGCTGACAGGAACTTTCTCGAAGCTGTCTTGGAAACAGAGGTTGTGTCGGATGGTGTTCTTCCAGCCTTCTGGAGCCGTCCGGAAAAAGGGAAAGTGTTGTCTGTGAACAGGAAAAAGTCATAAGGGAAGGCATGGCTTGCTTGGGAGAGGCCTACCCTTGAGGTGAGGGCTAAGATCCCCCAGGCTGGAGTCTCAGCTCTTCTCTGGAGGTAGAGAATGCAAGCTGGCCCAGAGCAGCTTTCTGCTGACTGAACACATGGCAAAACCTCCCCAGGTGTCTGGCTTCTGCAGACTCTCATGTTTTAGCCCCAGCTTGCTGGCCCCTTCCGGGGTTCACTTTCCCCTCCCTCCAAAGGCTTAGGAATCTGACTTGCAACAGGAACCAAACAGGTTCAGGTTTCCCAACTACCATGGGAGGAACCCTGGTCAGGAAGGGACACCCCTTGAAGACTGATGTTCTGAGTCTCTCCTGATAGTGAAAGGCCTGAGAAACTCCCTCAGACTCAAACGCACATTACCATCAGAGCTAAAAGCAAATCCTTTCTTAAAGGGTTCTCCTGGGAGTACAGGGAGGTCTTGAGAAGCCAAATTTTATAATCTCGAGAGAGATGATAGGAAAAATGACTTACCCAGGAAAAACTTATGTTTGTAAGAACTAAGGTTTAAAAAGGTTGCAGTTGTTAAAATGTAAAAGAGGTGGGGTGGATGTCTCCCTATGCATGAGATGTGTGGACATGTTTTGGGCAACAACCCAGAACTAGTGCCTGGGAGAAGAAAACTGGGCATGCACTTATCCTCTTAGATCCAGATGGGGACCTGAAGCAGTGGCCTAGGGCTGAGGGCAGACTGGACAGTATCAGACCAAGGGCCCTGACCCCCACCCCAGCCCCTCCTCCTCACAGGGCCCCTGGCACATACCGAGTGAAACTGTAGATCTGTTGCACGTTGAGGCCAGAAGGGGAACTGTTTCTTAATGCCAGTGCAATTAGGTGGAAGTAATTGAGAGGGGGCCGGGACCAGAGCCTGCCCTCCTGGCTGTTGGCGTGCCGAAGCCTCCGACTGTGGAGGGGGGCCCTTTTGTGAGAGGACAGGAAAGCCACAGAGGAGCTGTCATCCTGGTTCTCAGCCTCCTCCTCTTCTGTGAGCTAGAGGAGCACAGAGTAGGAACTGGTCCTGACTCCACAGCCTCTACTCCAGGGGTACAATGGCAAGAAGGGGTGGTGGACTAGGACCACCTCTGGGCTTCTCCCCAACCCAAGGACACAGCCATTTTCTGAACCCAGTAACCTATTGCTATCCTTAAGAAAAGCAAACTCGGATGCACTGTTCCTATTCTGCCCCCCCACCCCAATCCCCGCCTGTAGCCCATGTCTGGCCCTCACCCCAGAAATCCCTACCTCCCAGTTGCTGAAGGAAGAGGCAAACTGCTTCCGCTTCCGAGGAGGGGACTGCTCCCTGGAGGAAGGCAGCACCGGCTCCACCACTGCGGCCTCTGAGCTGTCAACATCCTCCTTTTTGGGGGGTGGCTGGGGGGCAGGCACTGTGCTTATCTGCTCCTTCTCTTTAGCGTGTTCTGAGACCTCCAGCTTTCCGGGAGGAAACACAATGTTGGGGTTTACCCACATCCACAGGTTGGGCTCAATATCTGGACCTGTGCAGAGAAGAAAGGAGACTGGGCCTCAGCTCACTGGCTTTGGGGGACCCTGGTGTCCAGCTTAGGCCACAGGGCCATGTCAGAGAACTCGCTCCCCTCTACTCACCATCTTTATCAGGATTGGGTTTCTTTTTCAGTGGTAGTTTTGGTGGCTCAACTATTCGAAGTCTGTATCTGGCAACTGGCAAAAAGAAAGACAAGAGGATCAGAACACCTGAGGACTTCCGTTGTGGTCCCGAGGTCCCAGTCTTGAAGCTCTCAGAGATGGTTCCGGGCCCAGATTCTTCTGGTTTTCCCTGTACCTCCCTGACTTTCTCATTCTCGTCCACGTTCTCCTCTTCTCACTGTACATACACTGCCCTGAAGGGTCTCATGAATGAATACGATGGCTCTGCTGGTTACCATCTAGAAACTAAGGCCCTCCAAATCTTTACCTCTAGTCCAGACTTCTTGCCTATTTATTTTAAAGATTTATTTTTTTATGCATACGAGAGTTGGGGGTATAGGCCAGGGGTACAGTAGATGGGGTGGGGGCAGGTTGAGACAGAGGAGGGAGCAGGTGGACTGACTGAAATACACTGCTGAGGGGAGCACCAGGCAGGACAGGAGAGGTCTGCTGCAACATGTGGCCCAGCTCACTGGCCTGGGTTCGAACTCATGCCATGAAGTTTATGCTATGAAGATAGCTTCACAGTGCTGAACTTAAGCCCTTGTACCACCAGGCCCCCCAAGACTTCTTGCCTATTGCCTATGGGCTGTACTACTCAACTTAGATAGCCCACCAGTATGTAAAAATCAACATTTTAAAAACTAAGTTCCATCTTCCTGCTCTTCTTCCTGTATTCCTTATCTTGGCAAGTGGCACCAACATCTAATCAGTTGTTCAGGTCAGACACTTGGAAATGCTCTTGATTCTTTTGGTACAGTCCTATGAACTCAATGAAGTCCTACCACCCCAGCATAAGCCATACCCTAACTGGTGTTTATCCTCTTTAAGGTACCATATTGCAGTATGAGTCATCTGTGCAACCCTTCTGCCAAAACCTTTTTGACGACTTGCCCTTCCCTTGGGTCAAATATAAACTCCTTGAGACTGGGCCTCCCTGGTGGTGCAGTGGGGTGAAGCTGCAGCACTGTAAAGTGGGTGGAACTGCAGCACAAGTTCCATCCCCGGCCAGGGAGCTGACCCACATGGCGCAGCAGGCCTCTCTTGCCTCACCTGCTGCTCCCTCGGCAGTGTATTTCAGTCAATCTTCCTGTTCTGCTCCCCACTCTGTCTCTGGTGAATCTTCTCACCCCACATACCTCTGGCCTGCACCCCAACTCTTGTATACATAAATAAATAAATCTTTAAATAAATAAACTCCTTGAGACAAGTCTATAAAAGCTCTGGCTCTTTTTCCAGTCTTCCCACCCATCTCTAACAGTCCACACTCTAGACCAGAAGCCTTCCCACAAACTATTTCCTTTTCTAGAAACACCCATCCCTCTTCCTGCTTGCCTAGTTAATTGCTACTCTCCTATCATGTTGCTGATTAAACATCTTCTAAAGCAGACCTTTTCTGATCATCTGTTCAAATACTCCCATATCCCATTTCAGTGTAATTACTTGCTTAGGGTCTACCCCCAGGTCTAACTTGTTCACTGCTTGGCACATGGGAAGAAGTCCACTTAACTGAATGAGAAACACACGGCCACTAGTCTAAAGGCCAAGCAGGTGTATATCAGAGTTATCTGTTTGGTGTTATGGTAGCTCCTTGGGATTAGAGGAAGTATTTTTGTATTTGAAGGGGGGCGGCAGGAGAATGATTTATTCAGGGCTCAATAATTAAAAGTGATGTTCATTACATTGCTAGTATTCAAAAATGGGAAAGCAAGAGGAAGCTGGGGGAAAAAAGGGAAAATGACTATTATGTATAGGAGGGGAAAAAAAATAAAAGATTAACCCAGAAACCATAGGGCCTCCCTGGTGGTATAGAGGTTAAAGCCTCAGTGCTATCAAGCTATTACCAACCACTGCTGCATGAGTTCAATCCCTGACCAGGGAGCTAATCCACGTGGTGCAGCAGACCTCTCCTATCTCACCTGCTGCTCCCCTCAGCAGTGTATTTCAGTAGATCCACCTGTTCTGCTCCTCACTCTGTCTCTGGTGAATCCTCTCATCCTCACCCACCCTGCAACTCTGGCCTATACCCCAGTTCTTGTATGCGTAAATAAATAAAATCCTCTCACCACCCCCTGCACCTCTAGCCTGTACCCCAGTTCTGTATCCATAAATAAATAAATCTTTAAAAAAAAAAAAAGAAGACATAGAGACCATACAAAATTGCTACATAGATAGAACTAATAAGAGTCTAGCAAGCTTGCTGGATATAAGAGCAACATACTAATAAATACTGTTTTGTCTATACCAGCATTTAAGTTGGAAATCACAGTGGGGAGCCTTATCCCCTTATTTGAGGAAGTGGGCTTAGAGATCAGGGAGACCAAGGTGGCTGGAGCTTGTAGAACAGAATAGCAGAAAGAAAGAGGGACAGAGATCTCCTGAGCTCACACAGGACTGGTATAGTTTCCAATGCAGGTGAAAATGTCACAATTCACAGGACATTAGAGTACTCAGAAGGGTTTTTGCCTTAGTAGTAAAGAAATATTGACAACTGCTCTGATCTCATCTAACAAAGCCTAAACCCCCAAAGATCATACTGTTTCCAAGTAACTTAACTGTGACCCAGAACAAAGCTCCAGAACACTTACAGATAGGCATACAAAAATACCCAACACTCAAAGTAAAATTCACAATGTCTGACATGCAATCAAAGTTACTACTAGGAGTTCAAAATAGCAGAGAAGTAAAATGAATAATGGGAAGAAAAATATCAGTTAATAAAACACCAACCTACAAATGAGAGAGATAGTAGATAAGGACATAAAGACAGTTATTCTCATTGAATTCCTTAAATTCAAGACATAAAAGATTAGAAACTTTCCAGAGTGTAACAAAAGGGAAAAAATGATGAAAATAACATACACCATTAGTGAACTACAAGGCAATTTGGCAATTTCAGGTGGCCTAAGGTAAATGCATAAAGAAGCCTTGAAGGAGAGGAAATATGGAGAATAAAAATATTTGAAGAAAAAATGAAAAGTATTCAAATTTCATGAAAATTTTAAAGAAGATCCAAGAATCTAAAACAAGAAACAAAGAAAGCTCCCAATAATCAAATGCTTAAAAACCAGTAATAATGAGGAAATGTTAAAAAAAAAAAAGTCAGAGGAAAAAAGCCATTTTACCTATACAGGAATGAAGATAAAGATGAAAGTGTATTTCTTCTTAACAAGGAAAGCCAGGAGAGAAAGAGAAATATCTTTAGAGAATAATAAATAGAATAAATAAAACTGACAACCGAGATTTCTATATTCTGCAAAAATATATTTCATAAAAAAAAAGAGAAACTTTCAGAGTTAATAACCAATGTATGTGTACTGCAAGAAATATTAAAGGAGTGCAGATAGAAAATTATACCAGATATAAACTTGGGTATGAATGAAGGCATAGATATAAAAGAAGACATGAAGAGCATTGGAAATTGCTATTTCATGGATTTCTGAAAATATGCAATGTCATTCAATCAAAAGTGCCATTTTGTTGGGCTTCCCTGGTGGTGCAAGGATTTAAAGCGCAGCACTATGAAGCTATCTGCAGCCGCTGGAGCCCACTTTCACTCGCCCAGGAAGTTGACCCACATGGTGCAGCAGACCTCTCCTGCTCCCCACAGCAGTGTATTTAAGTCAATCTGCCTGCTCTGTTCCCCACTCTGTCTATGGAGGATCCTCTCACTCCTGCACCTCTGGCCTGTATGCATAAACAAACATTTTTTTTTTAAGTGTCACTTTGTAAATAAAGCTTGGTATAGTTTCCTGCCTAGAGGACCAATTTAATTCAGATGAGGGGAAGAAATAGAAAGATTTCTCATGCTCACTGACTGGATGAATAAACATTGTTAAAATGGCTATGTTTACAGACTCAATACCTATTAAAATCCCAATGATATTTTTCAAGTGATTATACCTATTATAAAATTTGTATGGAACTACAAAAGACCATTCATAGACAACAATCCTGAGAGAAAAAAAGAAAAATGGAGGTACCTGACATCAAACTATACTACAAAATGATAGTAATCAGGGCCCTCCCTGGTGG